GGGATGGGGTGCATCCGGGAGAAGGTCTGCGGGCAGCTGGCAGAGAGCAGGTGAGGTCAGGCCTGTCCCAGAAGCTATGGTGGCCCTGGACAGTGCTCCCGCTTCCCAGGCAGGCTCACCGGAGACGGACAAGGTGTGGGGGGATCAGAACTCCAGAAAGAGGCTGGACATGGGTGGAGAGAGACCCCTGCTGGGGCAAAAGCCCCTCACCGGCCGTGGGTCCTGGGCAGCCCCATTGCAGGGGGGGGGGCAGTGATAATTTGTTCACTTGTCCCGAGTCCATGATACTCCAATCCAAAGCCCAAATGACATTCTTTGTGCACAGGCAACGGTATTTTATGTTTGCTTTCTGCCATGAGGAGGAGAGTTAAATGCTATTCTGATGCCTACCCCCTCTCTTCTTCCCCTAAACACCATTTCAAAGTTAAAAAAAAAAATCTCAAAGTCTTTGAGATACTGTCCCTCCCGCCCCGCCCCTCATAAGGCGAACAGCTGTGGGAGGCGCGGGGCGCCAACGTTCCTCACATTTGAACGAAACCCCACGACCTGCCCTTTCTGGCTCTGCACGTTGGAAAAGGCCGGTTTCTGGGCCGGACTGGACCTTGGGGAGCCAGTGTCCGCTGGCACCCGCAAGATGGAGGATTCCAGAATCCCCAGCTCCAGCCGCCACGCAGACTTAGAGAAGCAGAGGGTGGGAGAGGACCCCCACCCCATGGCCCCGGGAGGCATGGCAGCCCCACCCCCAGCTCTGGTCATCACCAGCGGGTCCAACCCTTCCTGCTCCTGTCCATCTGAAACGTCTCGGTTCTGGGGAAATTCACAGAAATGCCGCTGCTGAAAGGGGCCCGCCCGCCGCACGGCCCTTCCTCTGCCTGGGATGTGGCCGGGCACCCACATCTCACAAGTCTTTCTAATTGTGTTTTTAATTTTTTTTTTTTAAGCATCAGAGGCCGAGGCTTCCTTTTCCGTGGAGACAGCACCTCCGCTCCGCCTTCCCCAGAGCAGACCCAGCACCAACCCCGAGCCCGGGGAGGGCATCCTGGCAGCACTCAGAACCCGCCTCCGTGCAGGCCCTGGGGCCCTAAGCTTCCAGGGAGGGTGAGCACCTGCTCCCCTCAAGCCTGTCCTTCTCTTTCATGGCCCGACAAAGCGATGACCTCGAGTGGCCGTTTGCAACGACCTTGACCTTCCATCCTCTCCAATCTCCTTCCTGTTCCATTCAAACCAGAGGCTTCAGAGCAAGAGAGGTGTGTGAGCGGGTGCTGGGAAGCTTGTAGGAGCAGGATTTGGTTTTAAATCTTTCGTGGGGCACAATACGGGCCACCGCACAGCTTTCAAAGGGCTTCATTTTCAGAGCCGACTTCTATGAAACACTCACTCCGCTCACACAAGTTTTCCAAATAACAGAATTATAAACTTCTCTTAGCATCTTGACAAAAACTCATAGACACAGACAGCAGTATGGGGGTTACCAGAGGGAAAGGGTTGGGGGGAGACAGTAAAGGGTTTGAGGGGCCAGCTCTATGGTGACGGGAGGAGACCTCACTTGGGGTGCTGAACACACAATGCAATATAAAGGTGATCTATTAGGGAACTGTACACTTGGAACCTATATAATTTTATTAACCAACGTCACCCCCAATATACCTAATTAAATATAAAATAATTTTTAAAAGTATATCATTTTGATGAAGTGCTTATTATAAATGTCTAACATGTTCTTCACAGAATGCACTGGCCACAGTTTAAGTTTGCCTGACGCTTTGGGGTCATTAAGATCACTGACCCCGTCACCGCCCCGAGGCCCAGGGACGCCCCCGTGCGGCGTGTGGGTGGGGGTCCCCGAGCTCGGGGGCTCCAGATCGCTGTGCTGTGCTTTGTGCTTAGTATCCATTTTTCTGCCCCCCGCCCCGCCCCCCGCCGCAGCTGTTGCCGATTTCGCCGCCCGTCTCCCCACAGCCTCTACCAGCGTTTCCAATCTACTGCGGACTGAAGCCCCAGAGCCTGAGAGAACTGTGTGTAAACCAAGAACAAACAGGACCCAAGTGGGGACCCCCAACAGGAGAAGGTGCACGGATGGGGGCTCGTCTCACCCGATGCTCGGGGCGGACGTTCCCATCCTTCTAGGTCCCGGCTGTGCCCCAAAGTCCACGCTGCCCCATCAGCCGCCTCCAGAGCACAGAGCACCGCCCACTGTAACAGAAGTGGGGGGGGGGGGCTGAGGTCACCAGGAGCTGGGGACTCCTGGGCACCAAGCTGCCTGCTCAGACAGCTCCGAGACAGGGCAGCCAGCGGGGCTGCACGCAGCCAAAGCCACGGAGCTGGTTCTCCTGTGGTGCCCAACCGGCTCCCCTCAGCTCCAAACTCCCTCGCTCAGGACACCCGGGCTTTTGTGGGGGCCTTCGGGGAGCAGAGACCCACAGAGCGCGCTGAGCACACGCTTTGACGGTTACCAGGCCCCCGACAGGCGGAGTTTTCTGAGGCAAAACAGCACCCAGAGGCCCTTCAGAGGGACTGGCTGTGGCATCAGCTCAGATTCCCACCCCTTGTCGTCAGCCAAGTGAGCCTCAGAGAGACAGCGAGGGCCTCTCTCTCCCGCTCAGAGACTGACTTTTAACAACAGGGTATGAAAGTACTTCCTTTTCTCTCTCTCTTTATTTTTTCCTTTAAGCCCTGGCCTGTCCCTTGGCAGGCAGGCAACAAAAGGTAGCATTTGTTAACCGTATATAGTGGATTCAAAGTCCTTTCTTTCTGTAAAATAGTTTGAACTAAAAGAGTTGGGCCGTATTTGGGATATGGGTGCATGGATGCATTTGTAGGAAGAAGGACGGAAGTCTAGCGACCCGATGCTAGTTAGGGGTCCTGTCCGGGTATGAAATAACGATTCTTTGTCGGTGTTGTTGAGCACGTATGACTTTTATAGTTCGGTAGATAAAAGTTATTTTTTAAACATTTTTCTCTTGTCACTTAGAAAGCTCTTCCTCTGTCCCTGTGCGCCTCCTTTCTGTGCCAGCAAAAGCGCCCCATGTATGACTCTAGTGCAGTGGTTCTCAACCTTCCTAATGCCGCGACCCTTTAATACAGTTCCTCATGTTGTGGTGACCCCCAACCATAAAATTATTTTCGTTGCTACTTCATAACTGTAATGTTGCTACTGTTATGAATCGTCATGTAAATATCTGATATGCAGGATGTATTTAGGCGACCCCTGTGAAAGGGTCGTTCGACCCCCAAAGGGGTCGCGACCCACAGGTTGAGAACCGCTGCTCTAGCGGGTGTGGCTGGGTCCCCCGGAGCATAGAGGGGCATCAGCCCGTCTCCCTCCCTGTTCCTCCCTTGGGGTCTGCAGCCGGGAAGGGGGCCTGTACTGACAAGGCCTTCCCAACCCCTCTGCTCCAGCTGGTCTCCTGGGCTTGGAGGAGCAGCGACAGGCTGCCCATGAATGCAGCAGAGGGTGGTCTGTGAAAGCAGGTGTGACTTTGTGCCATGAAACCATTTAGCACCCCTGAACCCTGCTTCTTCATCATCAAAGTGGGAGTAATATTCCCTGGCGATGCAGTGGGTGCAGCATGCCCAGTGGGCATCAGGCACAGAGGGCACCCCTGAAGAGCAGATACTGTGATTCGTGGAAATGCTTAGAACTCAGGGGCTTCAGTACAGCTCTCAACCCTGGCAGCACTTTAAAATACAACAGGAAACCTTGAAAAGACTGAGTCCCGGGGGGGCAGACATCCTCGTGCAGCTAGAGCCACAAAATAATTGCCTTTGGGTCAGACAGTCCACTTCCTTTCCCTCCACAAACCCATACGCATGGCGTCCTTTCCGCTGACTCAAAATCACCACCTCCAGGAGGCCCTCAGCAAGTCCCCCGTGCGCACTGGGTTCCTTCAACACCCACATCTGATTCGGAATTCAGGGGAGTTTGCACTTGCCACTGTGTCGATTGGAAAACATCCTCCAGCTACCTCTCACGTGTGCATTTGTTTTCTAGCTGATGGCTGCTGGGGCAGGCGTGCTATGGGCTCTGTGCACACGTACACAAAGGCCGGCCCTGGAGGGACCACAGTGGTCCTCAAAGTGCAGTCCCAGGACGGGCAGCACCCGCATCCGTCAACTGGGGCCTTGTTGGGGGGACAACGTCTCATCCCGCCTGGGACCATCGCATTGGAAACAGTTCGCGCGGGCGATGGGGCCGGCGTCTGCCTGAACAGCCCTCCAGGTGGCTCCCGGGGTGCTCAGATGGAGGACTGCTGGGTCAGGCTACAAGCTAGTCTCCAGCTGTGTGCCATGTGAGGCCTTCGCTTCCCCAGTGAGAACAGGGCCAGCAGAAGTCAGAAACCTGTGCCCAGGTGTGCGTAAGGTTTCACAAGAACGGGGCGCGCTACGGAGCCACCTCTGCAAGCCCGTGTCTGTGAGAACCCCTGGGGTGCACTTTCACCCCGTTGCCCATGACCACGGTCGTTCCTCATAGGAGAATTTTCCAGAAAACCAACTTGCCCCTTCTAGGTCTATTTTAAACCTGATTATTCCTGCTTTACGTGGAACACGTATGCTGCCAGATAGTAGCCCTTCATTTTAACTCCGGGGCCTCATTATGAACTAGCTTACGGTACTGGGCCGCCTGGCGCAGGTGATGATGTTTGGACATTTGCACACAAAAACAGCTCCAGGTTCCCGGGCATTTTGAGTCTTTGTGCTCGCTTTCTAGAATTTTCTGTCTGCGCCTACCTTCAGCGGGTATCACAGGGTGCTTCCTCAGTGTGGATGCCTCAAACAGCCCCAGTCTCCCTTCTGACCTGCGTTGAGAAGACAGATCACCCTGCCGGTTCACACGGTGTGTAGACCAGAGCACACAGGCGTGGGGAGCCGCCTGGGGGTGAAATCCTAAGCCTGGCATTCCAGGCCTCTCTGCTTTGCCAACCTCGGCTCCCTCCTCCACGTGCCCGGCTGCGGAGACACATCGGCTTCCAGTCACGGCGCAGGCAAGGAGGTCAGGTTACCTGGTCCTGGAGCTTCTGGAACATCAGGGGGTGCGGTTCTTCCAGGATCTTCTCGTTGAGCCGGGACTGCCCCTCGACGTTGACTTGTGACGAGGCCTTGCTGGACAGGAAGGTCATGTAGATCTCCTTGGCCTTTTCTTGCATCTGTGGGAGACACACAGCGCCTGTTCACGGTGAGCTCAGCCCTTCCCGGCCTGAGCCCAGCTCTCCCCTCCGGCCTGGCCTGGGGGCTCTGCCGGCTGCTCCATCTCCTGTCACAGAACCGCTCCCCTACCCACTTGGAAACGGTGACAGGACGGATCCTGGCCCACAGTGGTGACATTTGGTACCATTCAGGGAGTCCTGTGAATTCTCCCAATTAAGGACTTAAGGACTCAAGGCAGGGGAGGGAGGGGATGGATGAAGGGGGTCCTAAGATATGGTGACGGGAGAAGATCTGACTTGGGATGGTGGGCACACAGTGCAATTTACAGATCTTCTAACATAGAAACCCACACCTGAGACCTGTATGTTCATAGTAACCAATGTCACCCCAATCAATTTAATTAAAAAAGAGGAGAAAAAATAAAGGACTTCTGGGAACATTGTTCAGGCATAACAAGCAATGAAGTCCTGGCACGTGCACAGCGTAGGTGACCTTGAAACATCATGCTAACTGCAAGCAACCAGACACGAAAGGCCACATATTGCGTGATTCCATTCATCTGAAACACGCTAACCCATGGAGACAGAACATGAGGGGTTTCCCAGGGCTGGGGGCAGGGGAGAGGGGAGTAACCGCTTCATAGGCAAGGGGTTTCGGGTTGGGTTGATGAGAAATTCTGGAACTGGGTAGTGGTGACGGCTGTATAAGACTATGAGTGCACTTAAGGCCACTGAACTATACACTTCATTTTATTTTCAATATATTTTTATTGATGTCAGAGAGGAAGGGAGAGGCAAAGAGGGATAGAAACATCAATGATGAGAGAAAATCATTGACCGCCTGCCTCAGCACGCCCCCCACTGGGGATTGAGCCTGCAGCCCAGGCATGTGCCCTGACCGTGATCTCTGGTTCATAGGTCGATGCTCAACCACTGAGCCACGCCCGCCAAGCTGAACTGTACACTTTAAAATGGTTAAAATGATAAAAAAAAAGAGAGCCCTAAAAAATGGCTAAAATGGTAAAATTTTACGTGTATTTTACCACAATTTAAAAAAAAAATCAGTGGCCAGGAGAGCGCCCAGCTGATCCCGGGAGCCCGCAGGAGCCTGAGGACCATGCGCTCCAAAGCCTTGCATTTCGGCTCAGCCCCTGCCTGCGGGATGCATCATCCCCCCCAGGGTGCTCAGCATGTCAGCCTCCCCTGCAGGGTGCTCAGCGTGTCAGCCTCCCCTGCAGGGTGCTCAGCGTGTCAGCCTCCCCTGCACGGTGCTGCTTCCAGGTAATGAGGCGTGAGCAGGAGCGAGGGAGAGAGCACTCACTGGCCGCCCTGCGTCCCAAGGGCAGTCCTTCTGGGAAGCACTGGCCGTTGAAAGGCCTGGAGGCGGATGGGGCAAGGTGCGCACGTCTAATGCACTGGCAGCCAACCCTGGCTGGCGCAGGGACACGCTCGCCCTAAGTGCTTTGTCTTAAAAACAGCCTCGCCCAGTGGGCGTGGCTGAGAGATTGAGCGTGGGCCCATGAGCCAGGAGGTCAGGGTTCGATTCCTGGTCAAGGGCCCGTGCCCAGGTTTCAGACTCGATCCCCAGTAGGGGGCGTGCAGGAGGCAGAGGGTCAATGATCCTCTCATCAGTGATGTGTCTCTCTCTCTCTTCCTCTCTCTGAAATCAATACACATATATTTTTTAAAAACTAACGAACAGAAACTCGGCCTGCCTCCTTGATGGGCTGCAGAAGGAAGCCTGGTCTTCAGGGTGTCCCCGGAGGGTTCTCCGCTCTTAGAACCAGGAAAGTGTCTGTACTCAGCCTCAGGGCAGCACACAGGGGGCTGCGTCTTTAAACATTAAAGCCTGAAGTATCACTTCACCCCAGGGAGGAGCCAGACCACAAATGTCTCAGAAACGCAGCCGGAGCTACGCTTTGTGCGGGGAGCGAGGGGCTTGAGAGGCCTGCCAATTGCCATTCTCCCCAAAGAACCCCAGCCTGCGAAACCCTTTGGCCTCATGGAAAACACCAGACCTGGTGTTTAAAGTAGAAAACCAGTCCTTTAACTTATGTGGGGTCCAAGGACACGTTGACAAAAGGCCCGAGAGGCCGAGGCCTGACCGCCTCCTGCCCAGAAAGACTGCCCAGGCGGAGGTCGCCACCCGAGGCCCCCGGGTCGGTTCGTCAGTACCAGGCCCAGCGACAGGAGCCTCTTATAATCAACATGGCTGGTCAAACGGACCAGTCGGGCCCACGATCCAGATCCGGGTCGGCAGCACCTTGGGGCTGTTTGCCTCTCAGAGACCCACCCCCTCCATGCAGCCGTGAGCCTCCCTCCCGCTGCCCCCCTTCTCCCAGGAACGCACATTTTGGGGAAACTTCTGCCTGTTTCCTGCTTCCTGAAAGTGTCGGCCAGTCAGAGGAACAGACTCTGCAAAGCGCTGGAGGCAGGAACCACTTTGGGCCTCCCCTCCCCCTTGAACAGTCTCTCTCTCTCTCTCTCTGTCACACACACACACACACACACACACACACACACACACACACACACACACGTTTCCAGATGAGCCCAGGCTGTCTGGGTGGCTCTGAAAAGACGTGAACTGAATCAGTAGCTTGAGGCGTAAAGGAGGGGGTGTGAGGGGCCCGGAGGAGAGGAAGCAGGCTCTGGGGGGCCTGCTCTCACCCCCTGCCCATCCCCAGCCCCCCTTCCCAAGTGTCTGTGGGTCCCCGCGCCCCCGCAGCGGCTGAGCTTATCTGGCCGGGTAGGAAGCGTGACTGGGAAGGGAAACCCTGACGCGGCGACCGCAGGCCAGTCACGGGGAGGCCGCTGCCCACCCGCCGGCGCTGAACAGAAAGAGGAACCTGCATCTCGAGATACTCTGGTGGGTTTCCCAGAGCCGGGAACCCTATTCTGGCTTCTGTCGGGATCGGAGCAGACAACGTCCACCCACAGGCGGGGTCCCGGGCCTGCGACCCTGGGTGTGAGCTGGAGGATGGCCCTTCTCCTCTCCTGCCCCAGAAGGTGCTGGAAAAGGACCCTGCCTGGGCCACGCCAGGACTCCCGGCATCAGTGCGGGGACTGCCTGTGGGGGCGTTCGCACCCAGGGGAGCTCTTCCCAGACACCCCATGAGCCTGGGCATCAGCCCACGGTGCCCAGACAGCCTCTGCTCCCACAGCTCACATGCTGGAGACGCGAGTTCCCTTCCATCAGCCTGAACAGTCACCCCCTCCAGGAGGGGCCAAGGCACAGCTCCTGCCCCGCCACACACACACACACACACACACACACACACACACACCGCCCCTGAAGCCAGAAGAGCATGGCTTTGTGTGTTCTGGTTCCTCGCCCTCACCCAGGAAGCGAGCTGAAACTTTTCCCACTGGGAAAATAAAACCCCATCTCTTTTTACTCACGTCCTCCTATAGCTAATGACCTCCCACCCCCAGCTTTCTTATGGAAGCATCTCAGTAGCTAAGCGTGCACGGCCAGCTCGGCCTCGCCTCCCACCGCCTCCCACCGGCTCACGGAGGGCCAGGTGGCCAAGTCCCTCAGATGCGCTTCTGGAACGCTCCCGGGCCCTGGCCCCGCTCCCCGGCCCTCTCAGGATTCTCCAACACCCCGTCTCCTTTGTCAGCTCCTGTCCCTCTGCCCCCCCCCCACCACCACCATAAATTCTGGGTTTCCCAGAGTTCTGCCCTAGGGCGACTGCTTTCCTAGCCACATGCTCTCCCGAGATTTCAGCCCCTCCCTCGCCTGAGCTGCCAACTGATCTCTAGACATGCAGACACCGCGACATCCAGGACAGAGTGGTCCTGCAGCCTCGACTCCAGGAGGCTGGGGACCCAGATCCCCTGACACCTCCCTCCCGGACGCCCTGCCTGTCACTTCCTGCCTCTCTCCACCGGCTGTCCCTCTCCATCCCGCCACTCTCCAGAGGTGGACATCGGGAGAGGCCACGTCAGAAAATTAAAGGCGCAAGCCGCTACCTTCATTAACATGGGCTTCGGACAGAGAATGAGGCAAAGAAAATACCACATAAGTGATTGGAGAGTCTTTCCGAGAACTGGCTCGGGAAATGGAGGGCAGTGGAGGGGCAGCGAATGGCTCCCTTGCAGAGAGCAAGCACAAACCTCAGCACCTGCGGGGGGGGGGGGGGGGGGGTGGCCAACAAAAAAAGGTCAAAACCGGGCGGGGGGGGGAACCCAACCGAAAGGAATAGGAGGGCACGCGGGAGAGGGCGGTAAAACCCCAGGGGCCGAACCCCCAATTTGGGGAACCCAGGGAACATTTTCCCCTTTTTTTTCCCTTTTCCTCCAACCAGGGGGGGGGTTTCTCTCTCTTAAAAACTTACGGGGGG